AGTTGATAACGAGGAGGTATTTGGGAAGGGGGTAGCATTGAGAAATTATAGTCATGGAAAAAAATAGAAGGTTCTGCGTTTCTAATCGGTGACTGTCAAACCCACAAGTTGCATTAATTAGTATTCATTTCAAAGATTAATATTGCTGATTTGTTTGGTCTTTACTTAGTATCTTAAATTAAATAGGTCTAACTAATACGGGTAGACATAAGAACGCATGGCTGCTTTTGAACAACAAAGATTAAATTAAATTAATTGTTATAATTATACAATTGGCAAACGATATTGTAATGAATCATTGAAAATATAAAACAAAGATTTATGAGGTTTTGATATGAAATGTCAAAATCCAGAAGAGTTGTTAGTATTATTTATATGGGAAAAATGTTTATCCTTTTAAATGACACAACTTATATCCTTTCACTCTCACACATAAATGACACAACTTTACATCTTTTAAAATGACACACACTTTACCTTATTTTTATATATAATTTCCACTTGAAGGTCCACCAAACCAATATACAATACAAGTTTATGCAATGATAACGATATTTGATGTTATTTTATTTCAAAACATGGGGTGTTGACCTCAAATTAAAAATAGCTAAACGTAAACAAAAGGGCAAAAAAAAAGTATACTTTATGACCGTGGACTACCATCGTATGCATATTCTAATAAATAATAATCTAATGCAGTTGCCGTTCAATTTCCTAACATTTCTGAATGAATGTGGCTGGAAAAAATAATAATAAACCATTCAAAACGTGGCTGGAAAAAATGTGATGGCATGTTCCAATTCCAAGAGCGAAGAGAGGCATTATTGAATTGACCGATCTTGATTTTTGACCACCTTGACCCGAAGGGTATGCATCCGTAAACATATTTTATTTTATTTTATTGAAAAAAAAATTATATTTATAACTTATCATTTATTGTAAATTAATAATTAATTAATGAGTTTAATTTACGAAAATCATAACCATTAATTAGTGAAAATTAACGTTGTTAAGATATAATTGTAAGAGATTATAAAAAAAAAATTGTACATATAACTTTTTTTTTTTTTTTTTTGTAGAAAAATATTTTGTAACTCTTTTTCTGAAAATTGATTAATGTCATGATGTAGGATGGCTTTTGGTCTGCCACTTAGAATGACTCCTACTTTTGGTACAAGACCTATTGATAGAGACCAATTAATACGTGAACGTGAAGCCTCTCTTCCCTTTTTTTGGTACAGTTATTTAATATTTAATAAAGGAGACTTTAATCTTTATAAAAATAGGATGAAAAAGAAAGCAAATGATATGAACCCTTTTTGGGATCAGTGGACTATGAACACTAATCGATTCCATAAAATTGATGAGAGTTGGAGATAATAAAATGGATTGATCTATATATTGTTAAAAAGGATTTAATCTTATTATTTTGTATTTGAAAGAATCACTTTAATTTTTTCGAAGAATTTTTTATATTTAAAGATAAAAATAAATAACTTGGAGAGATACATTTTTTTTTTTTTTAAAAAAAAATCTATCCTATCTCCTAAGTCCAAACATAGAGAGGTATATAAATACGAGGTAGGATATTCTTACTATCTATTTTTTTTACTACCACTTCACTACCACTCTAATCACCATTGGATTAGAGAAAAAGTTGAATGAAGAGAGAAAAAAAAATAACTTTTGAATCCAATGATAATTAAAATGATAGTGGAGTGGTAGTAAGAATATCCTACCTCTACAAACAAATATATATATATATATATATATATATATATATATATATATATATATAGTTTGTCGGATGTATATTGACTATATAAAAAATTTGGTGCGTTTGCAAATTTATAACTATATATTCTTAGAAATACATAATTATAATTTTGCAGAGAAAAAAATAATTTTAACATTATAACTATGTATTTTCGAAAATATATATTAATAATTATGAAGAGAGAAAAAAATAAAATAACTTTAATATTATAATTATGTATTCCCGAGAATACATAATTATAAAATTTTGAGCGCACCAAACCTTATATACAGTCACTTTATAAATTATTTTGTTATATATATATATATTTATGAGAAAATTATATTTTAAAAAAATTTATTTACAAACTCTTATAATCAAATTTTAACTTTTATTTTCGTCAATTTGATGGTTATAATTTTTTGAGAATTAATAATTAATTATAATATGATCCAAAAATTGTAATTATCAAATTAACAAAAATTAATAATTAAAATTTGATAGTAAAAGACGAAAAAAAATTATATATAATAATGGGTAATAGTTTTCTTATGTTGTAGAAGATATGTATTGTCTCCTACACACTCATTGGTGTAGGTGGGTCCATTTTTAGGAGAAGATAGAGAAAAAGTAAAGTGAAACCCATTTTGAGTTTGTGTGAGTAGGAGATAGATTATATTTTATGCAACATAAGAGTAATAAATTCCTATAATAATTTCTTTTATATATATATATATATATATATATATATATATATATAGAGGTAAGATCATTTGACACTAGTGTCAAATTTAAAGTTTGACACCTCATCTGAGAGTTGTTAGATCAAAAAAGATCAATGACTCTGATTTGTAAGCATGTGACACCATTGATTTTTTGTGATCTAACGACTCTCAGATGAAGTGTCAAACTTTAAATTTGACACTGGTATCAAAGGATCCTACCTCATATATATATATATATTTCAATGAGAGGACAGTATGGTAAAATAGACATGAGCAGTTGGAAAAGTCCAGAAAAGCAGGTGTGTGTGCATGCATGAATGTCAGTATATGCAGTTAGTCAGCTACAAAATTCACGAAACGCGGCTTCGCTTTTTAGTTTTTACCCCCAAAATGAATAGAGTTTGGTCGACTCCTCGAAATCAAAAGCCATTAAAGAAATAGTTTTTTTTCTTTTTAATAAAAAAAATTGCGTTTAATATAATATTGAGATATTATTACTTTTAGTAAGGATTCAAAACTGAACTAATGCAACCAAAATTAGAAAGAAAAAAAAATAAATTAAAAGATTATATGAACTAATTCTGGACCCACCTCAGTACCATAATTATCTTTCACAGAAGATATCTATGGCTTATCCGAAAAAATAATTATATGAATTGAATTGATTTTCAAATTTAAATTCAAAAATCCATTTAACTTAAATTGAATTGAAATTTTGTTTTTTTATATTTAGAATTAATTTTTTGTATTATTTACATTATTTAAAAAGAGAGAGGTTATACTTACAAGTTACCATCTTTTTTTTTTTTACAATCTCTTACAATCATATCTTAACACCGTTGATTTCCGCAAATCAACAGTTATCATTTATTGTGAATTAATAATTAATTAATGAGTTTAATTTGCGAAATTCATAACCGTTGATTGGTGAAAATCAACGGTATTAAGATATGATTGTAAGATGTTGTAAAAAAAAAAATTATAAGTATAAACTTCCTTATTTAAAAATTTATTATATCTGAAACCAAACTTAATTTTCTTACTAAATTTAGCCTTTCTTACTAAATTTAAACTTATATTGTAAGATTGACAACTAATTAGAACTTTGATGTATTTGTTTGAACTTATGATGAATTAGTTCAGTCCTATATATATAAAATGTATATCGATAATTAATTATTAAAAAATTGAATTAAAAACAAAAAATCCAGACCAATTTAAATTATATCAGATTGAAAGGCATTTACATTTTGAACTAAACCAATTGAATAAGATTGTTAAAAAAAATAATTAGATTAAATTCACTTTGATCCGATTCAGTCCAACAGAACTTCTTTTTTTCATTTTACGTTTAATATATTTTAATATGTTATTGACTTAATAATTTTTTATTAAACACACCAACGAAAATAAAATATTTATTAAAAATTCTTAAATACATGTAAAACAATTAATAAATATTGAAGAGGGCAAGTAATGGAATTCTTGTGGATAAAATCAAAATCCTAAAAAATAACTATTAAATTCAATATAAAGACATCTTAGTAAAACATATATATATATATATATATATATATATATATATATATATATATATATAAAAAACAGAAAATAAAAAATCTCTTATTTTATGTTATTAAATATGTATCACATTAACAACATGGTGTGCTTATATATATGACTCTCTTAGTGAATATGCCATGGAGAAATGTTTTTTTTTTTTGTAAATTGGAGAAATGTTCTTAGATTAAACCCGTAATGTATCCAAAATAAATTAAACACAAGTTAAGACGTTAAAATTGATCTAATAATAAGAGATTTGAATAATTTATATGAGTTGGTAAGTTACAACCTTAATTATAACTACCATTCTATCCAAAATTAAACACACGTTGAAGTTTCAATACGTGTTTCTTCATGGAACCTCATAAAAGCTTTCTTTCTTTGACTGAAGTCTTACCCATTTTATTTTATCTATTTATTTTGTTCTTTCTCTGTAGCTGTACCTGCTTATGGTCCCCATAACGAGAAGAAAAAATGCTAAAACAAAAACACACGCTCTTTATAAGAGAAATATTTTTGGTATATCAGATATACCGAACTGGATATTTTTTTTTTAAATTTAAAAAAAATTGACCACTTCTAAATTTTTTATTTTCCACCATATTCCAAAAAAATTTAAATTAAAAAAAAAATATACCGATACAACATGTACCAAAAGTGGTTTTTTCGTCTTGACAAAACCCAAAACGGGAATTCAATCCTCAAAGCTTTGAACAACTCAAACCAACTCGTGGGTTGGACTTTGGCACTCAAAAAAAAAAAAAAAAAAAAACACAACACCCAAGTAAACTTGGAACCTTATTTTCTTATTGGAAAGTGTGTTGGAAAATTCGTTGTGGAATTCAAAGAATACCCCTTTTCTCTCTTTTTCCATTTTTGACACGTATTTGAATGTTTGCAGTGTCAAATATTTGTCTTCCTCGGATCATATATATCTATATATAAGCAAGGGAAGCCACTGAGACAAACCCATCTTTGTTCTTTCGTATATAGTGCTTGTTCTTGAAGTCAGACTTCTATTCATCCCTGAGAGATATCTTCATAAGATATACAAGAAAGGTAAATATTCATGTTCTTGCTTTTTTAATCACTGGGGTTGCATAGTTTAGGAAAAAAGAACAAAGGGAGAGTGGATTATTAGACTTATATGCATCCTCTTTCATTTATTTGATTTGAAGTTTGCAATTCTCCTCTTTCAGAATAGACTTGAAACAAGAACAACTCTAGATTAAAATAAACTCTACAAAATTGGGGTTTTTTTGAAAATATTATATGTTGGATTTGTGCTCTACTTATAGCTTATCTAACACTAACATATTATCATTTGGGCAGGACTCAAAAAAGAGATTTTTCTTGTTTTTTCAAACAAATTGAAGTTGGAGGGGGATCTGGGACTCTATGGGACTATCACTTTCCTTATTCACATCAGCTTGGAAAGAAATTTTTGAACATTCACTCTTTGGTCTGTCTTTCAACATTAGTTTTGGTTCAAAAGATGGGGCTGTGATTTTGAGAGCAGAAAGCTTCCATAAAAGAGAGTCAGAAACTAGTACTGTATTGTCAAATGGTTCCACAAACAGTTCAAGCAGGTTGGAGGATAACAGACCCCAACAAGTGATTCTTGAAAGAAACCTTTCTTGCCTTGAACATATGAAGATCATGGATTCGGAATCTGTTGCAAGCAGAAGTGAACAAGTGCAGCATAAGCCAGCAGTGCCTGTGCTTTCTCTCCCTGAAGCAGTGGTTTTCTCTTCCCCAAGACCAGTTAGTGAGCTTGATGCTGCAGCAACTAAACTTCAGAAAGTCTACAAGAGTTACCGTACTCGAAGAACCCTTGCAGATTGTGCTGTTGTGGTGGAGGAGCTCTGGTTAGTCTCAATGGAAAAGCAATATTTTTGAGTTGGATATTTAATTGCTTAAACTTCTGTTATATATGTTATTAATTGATGAGTTTTAAATGGATGTAGGTGGAAGGCATTAGACTTTGCTGCTCTTAAAAGGAGTTCTGTTTCATTCTTTGATGTTCAGAAACAAGAAACCGCTGTGTCAAGGTGGGCAAGGGCAAGGACAAGAGCAGCTAAGGTATATTTCGTTGAAATTCAACTTTCTCTAAATTAAAGTAACTTCACTCATTTTCTTATTATGTTATTTTATTTGGGGTATTGTTATTGATAAGTACTGTTTCTCATATAGGTTGGGAAAGGTTTGTCCAAGGATGACAAGGCTCAAAAATTAGCTCTCCAACATTGGCTCGAAGCTGTAAGTTATCCATTATTCCATTAACTCTATTCAACCTTGAAATCATAGTACCCTTTAGTTTATGGTCTAATATAATATTAACAATGTCCATTCCTCCTTGTTTTCTTAAACAGATTGACCCACGTCATCGATATGGACACAATTTGCACTTGTATTATGATATTTGGTTTGAAAGCCAAAGCTGCCAACCATTTTTCTACTGGTAAACTCTTATTCTAAGATATCTAATAGTTTATATCTTCTTGACTGTTAATTATCATGAAGCTGGTAAAAACTATAGAAGCTAAGGATCTTGATGGTTAACTTTGTTCTTTATAATATTCAGGTTGGATGTTGGAGATGGTAAAGAATTAAATCTAGAGAAATGCCCAAGAGCTACCCTACAACGCCAGTGCATTAAATATCTTGGACCAGTAAGTTATCACTGGACAATCCCACATTTTATAATCACAATAAACATATAATACTATCTCATATCAAATCTAATGTTTATCTGTGTTGTTACCATTGCAGAAAGAAAGGGAAGAATATGAAGTAATTGTTGAAAACGGCAAACTTGTCTACAGTCAGGATGGAAGACTTGTGCATACTGATGGAAAGTCCAAATGGATATTTGTTCTTAGCACCACAAGGGCCTTGTATGTGGGGCAGAAGCAAAAGGGCGCATTTCAACACTCTAGCTTTCTAGCTGGGGCTGCAACGACAGCTGCTGGCAGATTAGTGGCTCAGCAGGGTGTACTTGAGGTAAAAACTTAATAGATTGCTTTTTAACATATCATACAAAATAATATTTATCGTACTAAAAATCATTTTGGCAAAAATAATTTTGCTTACACAAAGTGTTACATAAACATTTCAGGCTATTTGGCCATATAGTGGACACTATCACCCAACAGAAGAGAACTTCAAAGAATTTATTAGCTTCCTTGAGGAGCACAATGTAGACCTCTCTAATGTCAAGGTAAATATTTATCTAACTTATATTAATAAACCACTCCTCGTTAAACCTGACTAGCAAGTGTGGGGTGGAAGAGATTCTTGTATGCAGCCTTACCCTTGCATAATTTTGCAAAAAGGCTATTTCCTGCATTCGAACACATGACCTTTCAGTCATGAAGGAACAATTTTACTTATATTAGTAAAAAAAAAAATGGTTCCGGAATAAATTAGCTAATAGTTTGTTTTGCTGGTTTTCTTGCAGAGATGTGCTATAGATGATGATGCTCCTTCAATTGTTGGGACCAATTCATTTATTGACATTAATGAAGCACAACAAATAAAGGGACCTACAACTTCCCAATCAGCTTCCAATAATGTCAACAAGAATGCAACAGTTCATGAAGAGGTTGGGGCCAAGAAGGGTGAAGCCCAAGTATTTGACATGTCCAAGAGGTTATCATGCAAGTGGTCCACTGGGGCAGGACCCCGTATTGGGTGTGTCCGTGACTATCCTGAACACCTTCAATCAAGAGCTTTGGAGCAAGTTAAGTTGTCTCCAAGGCCAGCTTCTGCAAGAGCATGCAGCTATGGTCCAATCCCTTCACCAAGGCCAAGCCCAAAAGTTAGGATTTCTCCTAGGCTTGCATACATGGGGTTACCAAGCCCAAGAACCTCAATTGCTGCTTCAAGTTGAGGCAAGTAAAGTATGGAAAACCACTTAGTGACAAAAAAATGTGTGGCTAATGGTGACATTTCAGCTGAGGACAGTTCTTGTGGCGGCAACAATATAGATTATGAGACTAGAGACACTAACTCAATCCCTCTCTTGTATTTGTTTTGGTTTAACAATTTGTTTATTCTTTTAGGAATTTGGATGCCTTTGGCTTCCGTGAGGCATATTGTAATGCTTCAACCAATTTGCATATCTAGCTTTTTTTGGGAAGGCGATTCAGTTAATTCTTTATTGTAAATAGAGTTCTAAATTTGTAATCAAATGTATCCAAAAAATAATTCTAATCAAACTTGATAATAGCAATTCTTGTCTTTTACTTTTGACTTTTTAATTTTAATTTTCTTTCTCTTTTTTTATTTTCTTGTCTCAATTAGTTATTTAAAAAAAAAATTATAGATTTGATGTTTGTCCTTTTAAAGGACATAGAATTGTGTTATTTTAAGTGAGAAAAAAAAATAACAATAAAAATTATGGGGGAGAAAATGAATGATTTTCTTAATTTAAATTTTAAAATAAAAAACTTTTTATTTTAGTTAAAAATTATATTATGTTATTTTTAGGATTGGTCGAAATCAAGGAAAGGGTGAGTGAAGAAGAGCAGACAACGCTACTTAAATAAAGAATTGTTTTCGTATAATTATGATAATATTTGGCTAGCAATTTATTTAAAAAATTAATCTATAAATCTTTATATAATTGGATGTTGAATTTATTTAAATTAATTTTAATTTATTATTATGAAAAATAATTTTACGCTTATATTCAGTAATTTATTATCATGTTCATATCATTTAATAATTTTAATTATCTTAAGAATTATATGAGATATTAAATTTATTAAATAGATTAGTAATAAATGAATCAATCCAAACAATATATCTAAAGGAAAATTAATATTTTTTAGGTTAAAAATAAAACTTGAGGCTTAAAAGTAATTATTTACCAAAATTTACATACTTTGTTCTTTAAAAAAAAATTGAACTAAAAACAAATCAAATTTTAGTGTAATTCATGACTGATATAAAGTTTCGCTTTTAAGTCTCAAAAAAAAAAAAAAAAATCGCTTGAGTTAGATTTGAAGTTTTGCATTCCAATCAAATTCGAACATCTTGTATTAGACTTATTTTCGCACCCCAATATCATTCTTGTAAATACAAGGTATGTTTTGATGATAACAAAATGATAACAACAAAAAGAGAAGAGCTTTGATCAAGAGAAAAAAGCATCAACCATATGTGGATATTGAAGATGTATGATGTAGCCACACAAGAAGAGTGATGTCATATCAAAGTGGCAAGATCATTGAATCAAGAGCAACAAGGAACAATTAGAAGAGCAACACCAAGATCAAAGACAACTAACCATGGACAACATCTAAGAGAAACTCAATATCATAACCATGGTAAAAAATGATCAAAACCAACAAAGTGTCAAACATTGTCATATTCAACAAGTCAAAGTATCAAGTTCAAGTAAAGATCCAAGACACAAAGACATAAAGTTAAGTCTAAAATCATATTTGAAATATATCTTTAGGACTTAGAATATATGTGAAGGTATATGGTAGATTGCATTGCATGAGTTCAAAAAATTTCTCAAAGTAAACGTGTTTTTCAAATTGCATAATCATAATCTTTATATACTTGAAATAAATTTGAAAAATCCAAGGAAAAGATCCTTGACATGTTTTATAACTTCAAAACATATTTATCAAGTCAAGATCTTTCACAAAAAGTGGTTGGAAGCAAGCTAGAACACATTTGAACCTAAAATTTGTTGCTTAATTTTGCTGCTTCCTTCCATACAATTTTTCGTATCTAAGATGATGAATTTGGATCTTGTGTTCTTCATAAAAGTTGTAGATATTTCTTTCATCTTTCCAACGAGACCAAAATCACATCAATCTGACAAGTATAACTCAAGTTATGCTCAAAATACAAAATAGTGTTCTTGTTGTGAATAAAGTATTCGAATACCCGATGCAATATTCGAATACCTAATGAAGTATTCAAATACCACGCGAAAAGTATTCGAATACTTACTGGGCAGAAAGCCTATAACGGCTATAAATGAAGTATTCGAATACCACACGAAAAGTATTCGAATACTTACTGGGCAGAATGCATAAAACTGCTATAAACGACTAGTTTTCAATGGAAACACTATAAATACATTCTTTATGTCACTAAAACGTAGAGATCACTATTCCTACACATCATAAGGATGATTTGAGAGCTTCTACACTATCATTTGCATATTCTTTCATATCTTTCAAAGATCAAACATATTTGAGCTCATATCTTGAAAATCCATATACCCATAGTGCTTCAAGTTGTATATCCACACTTTGAGAGTGTATATTCATTTCTAAATATTTCACTCCTTGTATTCTTGAGTTGAAAGGGTTGTGAGACCCATTGTTTGAGAGGTAGCCAAATACCTAAGTAAATTTGGAGAGAATTGTAAGATTGCCAAGTACCCGTAAACTTGGAGATTGTAAGGTATCCAAGAACCCAAAGTCTTGGAAGATTGTAAAGGTTTGTCAAGCACCCGTGAAGCTTGACCATCAGTGAAAGAGTTGATCGAGCGGCTTCAGTCTGGACGTAGATCACAAGTGGTGGTGACCGAACCAGGATATATTGTGTTTGCAATTCTCTAAACTCTAAACTCTTTATTTCTAACACTTGAATTTATTCTTTGATATATTGTATGTGCTAGAATAAGTTCTATAATTGTGATATATTATATATTATGGATTGTTTGAATGTATTGATTAGCTTTCCACATATCAAAGTTTGCTTGAAATGATTATTTAGAAACTAGAATGAGACTTTTGCAAAAATCTTGTAATACTCAATTCACCCCTTCTTGAGTATGGAAGCCACATTCCTAACAATTCTAATTTGTCAATCTGGTTTATTAGAAAAATCTTTTTCTCCTAGGCAATCCACTGAAAAGCATTTTCTTTTTTGATACACACAATTTCCAGCAGTATCTTGGGTGATGAAACAAGTCTCCTTGACTCATTTGGTGTTTTTACCTCTTTAATTTTTCAATCTAGTATTTGATTCACGGTATCTATCAATTGGGATCATTGACTGATGCGAGGGAGACCCAGCGGCACTAAGTGCCGCTATTAACTCCCCGCGTCACTCACATTCTTTTATTTTTATTTTATTTTTTTCAATTGAGGGCACTTACAAGATTGTGCCAAGTTACACAATTTCGTTAGTCCTGTTACCGTAAAACTTCAGAAAGCCATAACTTTTGACTCAGGTATCCAAATTAGATGATTTTTTTTATTTCATATAACTTTTCGAGATCTACGCAATGACACCTCATTTGATATATTTTATCTTCCTTTAACATAGTTCAAATTTGCAACACTAGTTTCACTTTTTTACAGATTTGAACTATGTCTGTAAGAAATAAAATATGTTAAATGATGTGTCATTGCGTAGATCTCGAAAAGTTATGCGAAATCAAAAAAAAATCTGATTTGGATACCCAAATCAAAAGTTATGATTTTTGAAGTTTTACGATAACGCGACTAACGAGATTGTGCTACTTGGCACAATCCTGTGAGTGCCCCAGCGGAGGAGCCGCCACTCAATTAAAAAAATATATTAAAAGAATATGAGTGACTCGAGAGTATGGTAGCGACACTCAATGACGCTGGGTCCACCTCGCATCATTAAATAATCTCCAATGATAAATACCGTGAACCAAATACCAAATTGATAAATTAAAATCTCAAAAAACTTCAATTGTTCAAAGAGCCGAGGAAACAAAGAAAGAAAGAAGACATTTTGAATTAATGTTTGACTTGATATAAATTGGAGAAAGAAAATTCAGGAGTGAATAATTCAATCTTATTAAACCTAGTGCAGCTTATCGAAGTATCGGGTCATTAGGTCATTGATTTAATCACTGAGTCATTGGTTCAACCGTATATTAAAATAAATATTTATAAATCTATAATTTATATTTAAAAACTATAAATATACTCAAATACTACCTGTAAAAAATGATATCAATTCCAAAATTTTATTATGAAAAACAATAAATTACACATCATTGTACAACAAAAAATCAATCAAATATAAAATATTTGTGATACTATTGCTTCAGGTTTAATAGATGACATCTCTAATTACAAATTAAATCAAAATTCCTTACATATTGTATGACTAATATAATATTAGTATTATAGGTATATAATTTATATAAGTCAATAAGTAACATAGCACTTAAATATTTAAAAAAAACAAATCATTTATGTGTGAGCGTGAAAAAAAAATGCATCAATTGATTAGTACAAATAAAAAAAAATTATGAACTGGTTTGGGTTATCAATTTTTATAAAAATTGGACGGGTCACGTTAGTTTCATTACAAGCCGGATTCAATATAAAAATTAATCATTTATATAATTAATTTTCCGTAATCTTTTGATTTTTAATTAACTTTTTTAAACTAGTAATCATTTGGTTTGGTACAGTATGAATAGTTTGTCTTAACTAATTTTGGGGAAATAATTCTAATTTTTGTAGGGCCATATGGTACCGTAAAATTATGTCAGCTTTTTTTTTCTGGACTGATATGGTAATCTCTGCCTGCAGAGTGCAGAATGCAGAGCACAGATGAGGAGGTACTGCACCAATATTGTTGCAGAAGAGGGGCACATCCCAAAATCTTATTCCACACAAGGAAGACTTGGGTAATGCCCAAACTACAACCATCACTGTGAAAGTTTATTTATACACTGCAAAATCTCATCATCTGGGATACCCTCTTCTTTTTCCATGTGTTGGGGTGCGTTTTGGGTTATTGATACTTGTGTTGCTTTTTGCCTTTCAAGGTGGCTTCTGCATATGGAATTTATAACTCATTTTGCCTAATGAACAATGATGACACCATCATGCACATTTCATATACCGTGAATAATTAATTTAATTCAAAATTTTAAGATACCAAGTGAGAATTTTTTTAATAATTTATATTATTTTTTAATATATTTTTTCGTAGTTTGAAACGTGAATATTATATAAGTCTAATTTTTTTTTAATTTATCTTATATTTATTTAATTTCATAAGTAGGGACGGTAAAGATTGAACTCATAACATTATGATCATTGATATTTTTATATCATGTAAAGAATTAATTCAATCTAAAACTTTAAGGTATTAAGTAGAGATCTTTTTAATAATTTATATTATTCTATAACATATATTGTTGAATTTATATTGGAAATATTAAATACAAGTAATAATAAAATGTCATATTGATTACACA